TTCAGATGTGGATTGTGTGAGAGGTTTCTTTCACAGATATCACCTTGGAGTTCTCGATGGATCATTAGAAGTGTGGATATGCCAGTTGCTGCTGTTCTTTCATGCCGTCATGTATTCCATGCAGAGTGCTTGGAGCAAACAGCACCAAAGGTACCCAAAAGTGACCCACCATGCCCCAATTGTTTCAAGTTTGAATAGGAAAATTCCCCAGATCAACAGGTGTTTTCTAAGTTGATGAGTAGTTTCCCAAGGGTTAAACATTTTCGCGAAGATGTGCCGTCCAAGCAGTGGGGCAGTTTACAAGCGGAAGATTGTGTTGAAGGGGCTCTGCATTCACCTACTTGCAACAATCTAGTTAACCGAAATCGATTTAGGACAAATCTTTCCTTGAAGGGCAATTCTGGCAGGGAATTGCCAGGAAAATTGTGGAAAAGTGGCTCTTATTCTACCCAATTATTTGCCGGATCAGAGGACCATAGAGCTGCTGGATCTTTGAAGACAACGGCAGGTCCAGTATGAAGCAAGCACTACATAACTGCAGATTGGCTGTTCCTTAACAAGGGACTTCTTGTTGTACATGTTTATCTAATCTAAATGTGAAGATGTTTGGGTTGATATTTATGTCATGAAACATTATTGTAATTTTCTGTATTTCTACATTTTTCCAAGTTCTAAGCGAAAAAGATTGGATTTTGAATTTTTTTTCTACCGACCTTGGAAAAAAGGGCTTATTTAGCTTCAAATTTTTTATATTCTACTTTAATCGACGAAAAGATTTGTTTACCGGTTTTCTCTCTCTTTCATAATATTAGAAGAAGCTCGCCCCTTCATTTTCAGTTCACTCTATACTGAGTTTACTCATCATCATACTCAACTCTGTAATGCGAAAGTTTTCGTTTGAGGTCTCAGGAATTCTTGATTCTTCATTTGAATGTTGTTCGCTATTACATGGTTTGGCTTTCCTACAAAGTTTCCATTTAGTAGGGGGAAAAAATTTGGAGAAAGAAATGGCACTTGAAAAAAATTCATAGTCACAAACTTGAAATTTCTTGTTTTTCTAGGGGTTGGGGGCGTATATATATTTATGTGATTTCTCTGCATCTGGTCTTCATATTTATACCTAATGTCAGATTAAAAAAAATTTAGGTTTGGGGTGTGGGTGTGTGCAGGGGCGGACCCACATGGGGTCATGTGGGGTCAAATGACCCCACAAAATTTTGGGTTTTTTTTTTTTTTTTTTTCAAAAAATGGTTGTTTTAACTTGTTTTCAACCCACTTTAATACATACCAAATGAAAAATGAAATATTGCATTCTTAATATCATTTCTAAGCATTCATGGCCTAGTTTTTCGCTTCTTAATAGTGTACGAAATGATCAACCATAGCAAAAGATAAGATGTATTAAACTTTTGACCCCACAATCCAAAACGGCTAGGTCCGCCCCTGGGTGTGTGTGTGTGGTGATCCTCCAATTTTTTAAGGGGAAATTTGAAAGATGGAATGCTGAAAAGTTGTTAAAGATCAATTCTATCACCATGGAAAGCAAGTTATTTAAAGAAGTTTCGTGGAAATATTTTCTTTTCCTTTACATATTGAAAAGGTTTCTATGAAATTTCTAATGCTTAAACACATTCTTTCATAAAATTTTACACATTTACCCAAATTGTTTTTCTATTTTTTAATCAACATTCTCCATAAAATTACTATTCCAAATTACATTATCCCCAAAAGAAATGTGGCTCAAACAGAAGTTTAATCTTATGTGTGTTTCAATGAAATCATGTTGAAGTATAAATATAGTTAGAAATTGAGGATAACTGTCAATTTCGTAGGTGCAAATAGGCTTAGGCATTGGGTGGTTGGGGGTATTTCAATTCCTGCAGTATAATTTAGATGTATCATAATTGAAACCATATGGATCCTTGTAATTATTGAAATCTAATCCAAATTTAATTTGTCGGTTTGGATTTAGGTTCGATTCTACCCTATATATATATATATATATATATATATATATATATATATATATATATATATATATATATATATATATATATATATATATATATATATATATATATATATATATATATATATATATATATATATATATATATATATATATATATATATATATATATATATATATATATATATATATATATATATATATATATATATATATATATATATATATATATATATATATATATATATATATATTCGATAAATACTTTCAAATAGGCCTTTTCAATATGTATACCTAATAAACTACAATTAGACAATATTTGTGCAAGGAAGAAAATTAGCTAAGAAATCTAGCTATATGACTTAAAATAGTGGAAAATATAAACCACAAAAAGATGAAGAATTTAAAACATCAAAAATGAAATTGCAGTTTGAGAATAAATGATATTTTCTTAATAAATCTTATTCGATCCGTATGAGAAATGCTAGAGTCTAAAATTTAATTATGTACAAAGCATAAATTCTTCTACTTTTTAAACGAATTGAAATAAAAAAAAAATACTAATTAGATACATAACTATATAGTATCAAAAAATCATAGTACACCTATTAAACTCTATTTGAGTAAAAAAAGAAAATTTATATTTTAAAAGAGAATCACGAACTCGAAATAATAAAAAAGATACACCATAGCACAATCTATGTATCAAGTTCAACTACTGTGCATTATAACTATAATTAAAAAAATCACTTAGTATGCAAGAAAATAAAAAAACTCGAATTACAAATAATGAACGCTTTGATTCATTAACTTATACCGTGACCTTAGGTTTAACTTTTCGATTTATAGAAAGAGTAAATTATAAAGATTAATATGTACTAACATCTTCAATGTAACAATATTATGTGAGGCGAGAGACAAAATAAATAAATAAATAGGAGCCAATCATGATTTCTTATGATTAGGGTCTAAAGTTTTCGATAAATTACTACCTAAATTGAAGTTTTTATATTTTTATTACTAAGCCTATAAATTGTAAAAAATAACAAATTATATAAAAAAAATTAGTTCTAATCGAGTACCCACGGTTCTGGCATGAACCAAGAATTGACTCGAACCTAGTTTAAGAGGTTCGGTTTTAATTATAAAGCACATGCTAAGGTGTAAATTCGGGGCACTTTCACATTTCGGAGGTTTAATTGGCAAGGCCTAAAATTTTGGTATGGTGGATTAACTAAGGCCTTGTATGACAATCATTACTCAAATTTTTTTTCTACTTTTTAACCACACATTCTCCAAAATTCACTATTCATATAATCAAGTAATAAATTTTATTATTCATTAATCAGGTATAGAGGTGTCAATTTGCCTTGTCGGCTCGAACCGTCTCGAAAAAAGCTAGAGCCGGCCTGGTACCAAACCGACTGTCATTTTAGGGCCTTGGACTGAGCTTGATCCAGCCTGTGTGACTTGATGATCCCCATGGATGTTTGTGTTTTATTACAAACAAAAGTGAGCCAACTTGACTTGATAAGACCTGAGCCAAAAGCTTGGATCAAGCCTAAATTATTTGCCTGAGCGAAAGTTCGGCTTGACTAGTTGACATCACTAATAAGGTGTTTAATATTATTAATAATATTATAAATTAATTTATATACACAATATCTCTA